GGGCCGGCGCGGGGGGCGGGGCGTCGAGCCGGCGCCGGGGGTCGCGGGGTTCGAGTGCGGCAAGCGAGGCCCGGGGGCGCCCCTAGAGCGTTGCGGGGGCCGGGCGAGGCCGGCCTCCAAGCCTCGAGGATCTAGGGCTTGGCTTTGCGAGCCGAAAGTTCGCTTGGACCCCGGGGGACCCCAGGACATCAGAGGCCGGGGCCTGGCAGGGGGCAGGCAGGAAGCTGATGCCTGGAAGCTGGCTTCTCTTTCCGCATGGCCTTGGGGCAAGGCACCTCCTTCTGCAGCTCCGTGGCTGTATTTTTATAACCTTTCCCAGCGGCGGCTGAGCTCCTCGCGAGGCGCGACCACGCTCCGTCCAACCCAGAGCCGGAGGAGTTACTCTCCCCTAGTCAGAAACCGAGGTCCGAAAGAGGGCAGAGGCGATTGGTTCGAGGCCGCACAGGTGACCCCGCCCTCCAAGGCCCCTGGCGGCCTCAGTTTCCCTGTCCTTGGTGCTGAGGACGCAGGGGCCTAGAGGCTCCGGGCGGGCAGGGCTGCATCCCGTGGCGGGGCTGCGACAGCCGCGCGGAACTCTGTCCAAAGGTGAATGACACGGGGCTGCTGGCTTTGTGGGCGCGCCCCACCCGCCCCCGCGCAGGAGGCAGCCCCGTGACCGTGACTAACGCACCTTTGCCCGCGGAGGGGGACGAGGGCCCTGCTCCCGTTGGCCACACAGTCTGGTGTTCCTCACTCCTCTTTGACCCCGCCGTCCCGATCCTTTATGGAAGTGGGTTACAGATAAAAATTACAGATCCTATTTTATGGGACATGAGCTGGAACAAGAGGTTTCCCAGGCTGCTTCGGAAATTAAGCGCCTGGATTACAGAAAATGGCTTCTGTGTGGGATTTCAGTCTGCCCACAGCAAAAAAATCTCTTTTTAGACAGTGTGTACTTGGCTGAACTTGCTCCGAGAAAAAAAAAATGGTCTTACTGAACAAAAGCGTTATAATGAAAGGGGGCTTGTGACCAGACAGCTGTAGAGGTGGGGCCTCTACTGGACTAGCCCAGGCGTTAGGAGGAAGGCAAGGTGGGAGTCCCGTTGGATGTTTGAAAAGCTGAGAAGTCAAGGTCTCCGGTCAGAACATTTAGATAAGGTAGCCAAGGACTTTGTCTAAAAATAACACTGGTAAGGAGGTGGGGCCATGTCCACGGCCTGCCCAGGTGACATACTTTTTGTTCCACTGTCCCCTGGCAGCTGCCTAGTAATCTCAGGAATGCCAGAAACCTGGCGGGGAGAAAAGTCACTAGAAGTAAGAGTTGGGTCTCCGTACTTTGAAATAATTGGCATCTGCTGGTTTGGGCTGTTCGAATGCACAGGCGCCTTTATGGGATGGCAGTTCCCTGTGGGAGGAAAAGGATGCCTTATTAAAGGTGTTAGGAAAGTTTTATGTATTATTGCTTCCATTTATAGATGTGAAGACTGAGTCCTGCTGAGGCTGCATACCTCAGCTGAGGTCCCTTGGCTGAGAGGCAAGGGCAGGTGTCCTGGCTCCTTTGTGTGAAGAGTATGACTTCCAAGAGGATAGAAAACTTCCCTCCCCTACAGTCAAACTAAGTCCTGAATGTAGCTCTAATTAGCTCATCCTTGACTTGGCCACTCAGGGCCCACCCTTAGTGCTGGGGCAAAGCCACCAGGGTAGAGACTGAGGAAGCTTGGCATGTCGTGATGCTAAAATAATAGGTTAGGTTTTACATGAAAAAAGACTAATTCTGGGGCACCTGGGTAGCTCAGTCGTTAAGCGTCTACCTTTGGCTAAGGTCATGATCCCAGGGTCCTGGGATCGAGCCCCGCATTGGGCTCCCTGCTCGGCGGGAAGCCTGCTTCTCCCTCTCCCACTCCCCCTGCTTGTGTTTCTGCTCTCGCTGTCTCTCTCTGTCAAATAAATAACTAAAATCTTTAAAAAAAAAAAAAAAAAAGACTAATTCTGCCATAGATGTAGGGGAAGACTCACCAGGGGGTGTTTGAGCAAGGCTTTGAAAGGTTGAGAAGGCATTTCTCAGGCAGTCCACTTTCCAGAGTAATCTGTGAGGATGTATAATGAAGATGGGGCCTAGCATGCAGTAGGTGCTCAGGAAAAGTGCCAGACTTCACTATTCACAAGGAGAAACCCAGAGTGGTAAATATGCCTATGACCCTTGAGCTGGCAACTTCATTCCCAAAATTCTCTCCCAAGAAGTCATCCAAAGCAAAAAGCCCCATGCATCATACTGAACACTGCCTCGCCATCTGTAATTGGAGAAAGCTGGAAATAATGTTCGTCCAGCACCTAGACCAGGCTATAAAAGATGTTGGGCCCATGGGGCGCCTGGCTGGCTCAGTCCGTAGGGCTTGTGCCTCTTAATCTCGGGGTCTGAGTTCAGGCCCCACACTGGGCATAGAGTTTACTCAAAAAAAAAAGAAAAGATGTTGGGCCCACATATTGGTGTATCAGGAGTTGAACATGACCAGGTTGAAGGTGGTAGGAAGGGTCATTTTCCACATATTTATCAAGTGCCTTCAATGTGCCAGTCATTGGCAGCACTGGATATTGGGGAAAACAGCTCTGCCTGGCTCTGATTCCTATCTAGAAAAGCAACACTGTCCACCCCATTGCCAACCAGTCCCTCTCCCCTCATCCCTATTTGTTCGTTGTGCATTGTCCATCTGCTCAACACATGGAACTTCCAGGAGAGCTGGGACCTTGACTCTCACTCTCTACCCACGTGACCGGCAGCCCTGATGTTTGTGGACGCTCAAATATTTGCTGACTGCATGAAGTTCTGGCTCAGCGCTTACTAACCGTATGTCTTTGGACTGAGCCTCAGTTTCCTCAGCCGTAAAATGGGGATGACAGGCATACCTCAGAGATATTACAGTTTCAGTTCCAGACCACCACAATAAAGCAAATATCACAATAAAGTCAGGCAAATTAATGTTTTGGTTTCCCAGTGCAGATAAAAGTTATGTTTCCACTACACCGTAGTTCATTAAGTGTATAATAGCATGTCTTAAAAACACACACACACACACACACACACACAACACCTTTTATATACCTTAATTTAAAAATACTTTATTGTGGGGCACCTGGCTGGTAGAGCACGTGACTCTCGATCTTGGGGTTATGAGTCTGAGCCCCACGTGGGGTACAGAGATTACTTAAAAATAAAAAAAATCTTTATAAAAAAGTATTGGGGTGCCTGGGTGGCTTGGTCGGTTAAGCCTCTGCCTTTGGCTCAGGTCATGATCCCAGGCTCCTGGGATCGAGCCCCATGTCAGGTTCCCTGCTCAGCGGGGAGTCTGCTTCTCCCTCTCCCTCTGCTGCTCCCTCTGCTTGTGCTCCCTCTCTTTCTGTCAAATAAATAAATCTTTAAAAAAATACTTTATTGCTGGGCGCCTGGGTGGCTCAGTTGGTTAAGCGACTGCCTTCGGCTCAGGTCATGATCCCGGAGTCCCGGGATCGAGTCCTGCATCGGGCTCCCTGCTCAGTGGGGAGCCTGCTTCTCCCTCTGCCTCTGCCTCTCTCTCTCTCTCTCTCTCTGACTCTCATGAATAAATAAATAAAACATTAAAAAAAAAAAAACAAAAGCTCTGGTTGATGCTGAATTCTGAGAGCAGACACAGAGGGTGTGGGTGATGGGCCTTAGGAACAATTGGGGGGGGTGTCTCTGTCCAGTCCGTGGCCTTCATGCAAACTGATTCCTATGGTCTGGCCTGAGGGACTAGGTGAGGGAGCCCTCAGGGCCACTGGGCAGACCAGGTCCCATGGGCCACAGCCCTGCCACCAACTCCAACTACAAGGCTTGTTCAAAGGAAGGGCTTTCTGACTCTGCCTCCTCTGAAATGGAGGGGACCCACCCAGGACTTCCTGTGAATGCAAGGGAGCCTTGCATCAAAAGCACCTTCGGGGGGCACCTGGGTGGCTCAGTCGGTAAGTGTCTGCCTTCTGGGGGCGCCTGGGTGGCTCAGTTGGTTAAGCGACTGCCTTCGGCTCAGGTCATGATCCTGGAGTCCCGGGATCGAGTCCCGCATCGGGCTCCCTGCTCAGCGGGGAGTCTGCTTCTCCCTCTGACCCTCTTCCCTCTTGTGCTTTCTCTCTCTCATTCTCTCTCTCTCTCTCTCTCTCTCAAATAAATAAATAAATAAATCTTAAAAAAAAAAAAAGTGTCTGCCTTCTGCTCAGGTCATGATCCCAGGGTCCTCGGATCGAGCCCCGCGTTGGGCTCCCTGCTCAGCAGGAAGCCTGCTTCTCCCTCTCCCACTCCCCCTGCTTGTGTTCCCTCTCCCCCTGTGTCTCTCTCTGTCAAATCAATCAATCAATCAATCAATCTTTAAAACAAAACAAAACACCTTCAGCCCAGGAAGCGCTAGAGGCTTAGTGTAGTGGGGGTTCCCTAGAGGGCTAGAGAAGCAGAGTCCTGGCTGGGCTCGCCACCCCCTCCCAGGTTGCACCCAGAACCAGGCTCCCCT